TGGAGGGTCCGGGAGGGACTGAGACCCTGGGAGCTGCACCAGGCAGTTCGGGTCTCCAAACCCCTGCACGAGCAAGGGTGAGCAGTGCACAGCTGGTGCACAGAGGATCTAGGAGTGGATCAAGGTCATGGAGCTGCACACGGCAGCTTGGGGTGCACAGCCTTGGAGGGTCTGAGAGCGGATCAAGACCCTGGTGCCGCATGGTGGCCAAGGTCTCTAACCCCTGGCACAAGGCAGGGCCAGTGGTTCACAGAGCAGTGCATAGGGCCCCCAAGCAAGCCAGAGGCTGAGAGGGCCCCAAAGCAGCTGAGGCCCCCTGCTGAGGGAAGAGACGCCTCACCCTTAAAGACAAGGACAGACTCACTGGGACCTTGGAGGAGTTGTGAGTTGCCTAAGAAGGGGATTCCCACGGCGGGGTGGTCTTTCCCCCCATGATGAGCAATTGGGTTGTTTAAGTTGATTAAAGGGGCAGCTGGGGTATCTGGGGCTCCCCACTGTCCTCCTCTCATCTAGGGCCACTCCTTCTCCTGGGGCATTGCTATTGTTTTAAAATAGCTTTTTGGGTTTTTTCTTTCATTATTCCCCCCTGGGCCCTGTGCCTCATATTTTGTGAACCCTGTGCCTCACGCTTTGTAAAATGGCATTCCATTAGAGTATAAGATTTGCATGACTTCTAATGAGACTTGCTTTGATCTCCTTTTGATTCTTCACCTTTATATAGTATTGGCATTGACCTGTATATAAGCTCTTTTAGCTACTATATCTTATGTGTAAATATATTAGCCTATAATTTTTATATCTTATTAAATGTGTACATAGTTAAGCCTTAACACATGTCCTGGCCTTGCTCTATAGGGAAAGGAGGGAAACTGTGTGCCACAGGCAGTTTCACTCCTCAGAGCACCTGCCCTGCTAACATTCCCTTCATTTGAAGAGGGGAATACATCATTGGGTGCCACCTGGGTTATATAAGGAAGCAGGGATAATTGCCTAAATCCCATATAAAATCAATGAAGGAGTCAATAAGGTACCTCTAAAAAGCTAAAGACTTCTGATGCTTGTGCGGGCCGGGAGCGCCCCGAGCCCTTTTTCGTGCTGCACGCGGGCTGTGGCCAGCAGCCCGGGCACGCGGGGGCGGAGAGGGAAGGCCTTCGCTCTGGAATTAGGCACGGACGCGTATCGGTAGTTTAAAAGATTGTTTACTTACACCGAGATGGCAATGGTGTAGGCTGGAAAGCTTGATTAAGTTGCAGTTACAGAAAGAGAAAAGAAAACAAAAACTCGAACCTGCAGAACA